ATGTAAGAGTGACTCATAACAGAAGCAACCTATGCTGTAAATAAAATGGTCAAAGCCATGTCTCTGGACTTGGGAAGTTCCCCTTTCCTGGTGTTCTGGAGGTCATGGGGAAATGGCTGAGAATTCCTACCTTCCAGCTCTTGGGTCTTTAGGGAAATTTTCATTGCAAAGTAGCCTGGCCCTGTACAGATTTCCCCATAAAAATAACAATTCACATTTACTGGGGGTTGCAATGAGCCAGGCCTCTTCTAAGTGCTGATCACTCTATGAGTGAAATACCTTTTTACAGATGAAGAAATCAAGGCACAAAGAGGTTAGGTTGGCCGAAGTCATATGGTCAGTAAGTGGCAGAGCTGGGATTTGAAACCAGGTCATTCAACTCGAGAACTTTTGCTGACAGCCGCTCATACTCTACCTCCTGTGACCCCCATGAATTCAAGGAAGACAGAGTTCTCTAAGCCCTGACCCCAGTTCCACACTGGTGGGTAGGACAAGACCACAGAAGGATTCTGTAGATCATGCCCAGCAAAGGTATCTATGCCATGACATATGAGTTAGCTCTGGGAAAAATGGCAACATGGAAAAAACAGTTCAAACCACAGAATTTCCAGGGGCCCTCATTTCCTCAAAGGAAAAATTAGGTAAATTCAGGTTTCTCCTAACCGTAAGACCCCAGGATTCTGTGCTTGGTCACACTGATGGCCTGAACTTGAACATCTTTGAGAGGCTGGCTCTAGGTTTGGAGCCTGAGTGCCTGCTCTAGAAACCCTAGAATTTTATAATCACAAAGAAAGCAGTCCCCATGTCTTTTCAGCACCCACAAAAGTAAGTTGGGAATCCATATTTTCAGAAGCATTTTTCCATTTAGAAATGACAGCTTGTATAAGGGGCATCCAGAAAAGAGAGAAAAAAGCCACTGCCCTTTGCTGGACCATAGAAACCCTCTGGTGTCAAGGGGACTTGAGCCCTAGATTAACCCTCTCCCAGAAAGAAAGTTCAAAATGATGCTGGGTGTGCCCCTGGCATTGCTTAGAAAGAAAATGATGAGATGCTTCAGAAAGAAAGCCTCCCTTTATTTCATTATCATTTCTCGGCACCCTCTTTCTGAATAATGTATTTTCCAGCCCATGGTGAAATGTCCAAGCAACTGAAGCTTAATGTCATTTGCAATCTGTTGGTTTGCTCC